TTTCAGATATTAGAGAAAGAGAGAGAGAGAGAGAGAGAGAGAAAATAACAACCAACTAGAAACAACTATATTGAATCACTTCTTTTTTTTTGAAAATTTTAATGGCGACTCACGAAATGATGGTCTTAAAGATTGAACTCTGGGTTATTCCTTAGAAAAACTATTCAACGGTACTTATTTTACCAATACTCTTGATATTATCTACTGTAAAACGATAATAAAAATGACTGGTAAACTATAAACAACATTTTCATGTTGGTTTTTTTTTGAGACTAAAAACGTTTAGATCATTTCATTGGTGAAGACAATACTAATCATACACATGTTTTCTGCTTCAAACAGTCTGATCCTCAATTTTCTTGACTTCTATTATCACAGTTTTCTCCTTGAATCTGTTTGTATATTCCTCCACAAACCCAACTTAGCAAATTACAATATTTAATTAATTAGTATTTTAATTTTTGGGACAACAAACTTGTGTTAGTTTTGAATTAGAAGTAGTACGTTTTTGTAAATAAAAAAAACGGTGGTAAAGTGAACGTCAGACGGCTATAAATAATACTTGAGTCGTTATAAATTTGAATTTAAGTTTCTAAAATATCATACATCTCGAATTACCTAACTAATAACTGATTGATTTCCAGATTTTAATGTGTTTGATTTCTATCTCCTTTTTAACTATTATCCTTTATCTGTATGATAAGAGTAATTTTATGGTTCTCGACTTCTATTAAATGTGTAGATGCATTTGTTACTTTCCGGTTTCTTTTGTCGTTTAAGTGTGCTTCTTTTTGAGTTTCCCAAAAAGATAATTAAATTAGTAGTGGTCTTAGCGGCGTGATAGTGCCTTTGTGGATTCCAAGGGACAGCTGCTTTTGATCAGTCATACACCTCGTTTTTGTGAGTTCTTGATGTTTCTACTAAGTACTTTAAAGACCTTATCTCGGACATCATAAATACATGTGATAAGGTAGGGTGTGGTATTATTATGGCCGACCTTTTTTGACCCTCTCCCTTTGTAGTCAGAAAAGAAAACAGATGTTGGTTGTCTGAAAGGAACAGTTTACTTCTATCATAACTCAGTACAATTCCGCCCTCAGACCTTTAGTACTACTTTTAGTTTTACCGTTCTCCGTCCTACCTGCCTGTCATGTCTGGATGCAAAGGAGCGAATACTCTAATATATCTTGACTGGGTCATCCTGATCATCAAGCCAGACCACCACATCCAGGTAGCAGGTATGACTGAAGCAATATGTTCAAGTTATCTAACATAGATATATGTATATATTTCTTTAGTTAACTAGTTTTCTCTTTCCTGTTATCCTCCTCTACCCCATTGATTCACTTTAATTATCAGTTATTATAGCCAGTCATTACACAAATATCATTTTTGAACATAAATATTTACCTATTGTAGTTTTAAATTACAACGGAAAGGGGTAGAGTGAAGCAAGTGCAAGTTGACGTGGCTACGTGGAATGTAACTGCAGCATTTGCATATATATGTCAAATAATTAAATGATTTATCAGTCTCATTTTCATTTGTGTATACATACATGTATATGTAGATGAAATGGTCTTTGGACTGATTTTCTCCTATTCTTTTATCCATAATTACACTTTACTTAAATCATGCGATTTTATATGTTGTTTCATTATCCGGTAATCATTTTTTAGTGAGTGTTGCCTTCATTGTATTGTCATTTGCCTTATAGTTGACACTACATTAAACTGTGATTTGGTTATTGACAATTGACATTTATTTTCTATCCCTTTTTCTTATGCTAGTCTGTGTTTATCACTAATTTGTTTCAATTCGATCCACTCTATGATCATGCTCGCGTTCAAAACAAATATAAAGTTTTTCATGTCAAACATCTATTGTTTTTTTTCGTTTTATCTGTACTTGTCTATCCTAAAGCTCAGGTTGTTGGGTTTTTATTGACTAGATTTACTAGAAGTCAATCATATATTCGTAATATACTTTCGAAATGTTACTGAATTTTCTACTTGTAAAAGTATAATGCAGGGACAGGGTCGATAGATTGGATTGATTTTAATGTGTTTGTTGATTGACCTGAGTGCCAAGCTTCTAAAAATAATCTGGTGTTTTTAGAATTGCCTCTATCGAAGATCTCGACATTTTCCCAGTCGAATGTGTGTCCACAGTCGTCTATATGCATTGATATAAGCGAATATTATGTCATGGCGTTTGACGCGTAATTGATGTTCGTGTAGATGAAGATGAAGAGGGCATGTACTTTGTCCGACTTAGTGTTTTTTGCAGTTAGAGCAATTTATTTGGTAGATAATGTTCGCTTTTTTATCTTGTCATTTTGTCTTTGGCTTGCTTGTAAAATCACGTTGATCAATCCTAACCTTAAATCTCTAATTTTTACCCTGATTACACAATCCTAACTTAAAAACAATGTGAGGACTTTAGAAATCTTTGATAAATGAATAATTAAGATCCCTATAAGGACGTGGTTTTGTTGTCGTTTTCCGATTTAATGACAGGTTAACCTGTGTTGAAGACTTCAATAGCCTTATTAAATATGTACACCCCTTTTTACACTTGCTAATATTATTGTTCTCTTTTCCATAAACTATCTACTTAGATTGTTTTGTGATTGACTAAGAACTAGATGAAAATTTGTCATAGTTGTTTTAAGTTCGTTTTTTATTTACTACAATTTTTAATTGAATAGGTGTTACGTCCTTAATCTAGTAATATACAGTAGAGAACTTGTGTCGATCTGGATTAAGGCCTTGACACGATAAGATAACTGGCTTAACCTTAAGGCTAAAACGCGTGGGTCCGAATCGCGACTGTCTTGGGTAGAGAGACGAAAACTATTCTGTCACCTGATTGGTTGACAGGTGAGAGAGAAAGAAGTCGAGTCAACTGGAACACTACTCAACTTATTCCCAATTCGGATTCAAACTAGTGCAAAAAAGATACATGAATAAATAGATGACTAACATGACCACAACGCACAAACAATTAGAAAAATACATTTATACCCAGACTGGGCATTGGGGTAGGAAAATAGAGTACCGAAGGTTACGTCTAAATTACAATATCTTTGGAACAGAAAAGGGTATGGCAGTGAATCATACATCAAACTAAGGTTTATGGTTTATAGAATTAACTATGAACAAAACTAAGTGTTAGTATTTTACAAACTTGAAATTAAGTGAAATAAAGTCCTCAAAAAACAGCTTCCTTTGTTTGTCATAGCTTCTTTGTTTCTCTGTTCACATCAATAGGAGACTTTTATTGTCCCCCAACCGCCTTCACATTGTTTGTTAAACTCCTTTTCCAGTAATAGTCGATTGGTTTCCTAAGACTCAATATCTAAGTATGCTTCTTTTTGGCGAAGTCATTTTTATATCTTTAAATATTTATCCACTAGTTATTTTACCAATATGCGATATTTTTCCCCTATACTCATGGAACCGTTCATTTATTTACATATTTGTGTTCTCATTTTTAACTTTTCATGGTGTCTGTTAGTTTTCACAGTTGTTAGTTGCTTCAAAATGAAATATGTATGTTTCGTTTCAGTTGTTAGAGTCATCAATGAAAAGAAACGTTTCAAGGTATAATTTCAGTACTACTACTATGCTTTCATAAAATTCGCTGTATTTTTTCTTCCCCTTTACTCATAAGCAATGCAGAATCTGGCATGCATGCTTATTGGTTCAAGTTGCCATATCATATCAGTACAGTCAAGACGAATCCCATAGTAGTAGCAGTATTAAGAGTATCAGTTGGAGTAGAAAAAATTAAGTATAGACAATGTAACTTGACAAGAAAGACCAAGTTCATTGAATAGAAAAGTATGAGATAATTTTTAAAATTCAAAATAAGTACATCTGAAACATTCTGACCGTTCCTAATATGAACAAAAAAAATCCCAGAATCAATATTAAATAATTTTATAGTAATTGGATTTAGATTGCCCAACAGTACCCTGGTTAGCTACATCCCAGTTACAGTAGTTCAAATAAATCCAATAGACAGTACAACAGCAAACTTTTACGTTGTGTGAAAACAGCGGGAATTTATAAATATTAACTTTTATAAAAGTTATTTTATGTATTCTATGTGTTACAACTGTTGTATTTTGAGGCTTAATATGTTGATAATTCTATAGTAGTCGGTTTACTGAAATCAAGTTGCATAACCATGATAAGGCAACAGTTGAAACAGTGTGTGGTTTACATGGCTTATATATATATATATATATATATATATATATATATATATATATATATATTAGTAACCGTTTTCTGTTTAACCTAGTAACGTTTGATTTTCTCCTTACAGTAAATAAACAAAATAGTTTTCAATGTTTACAATAAAATAATATTCGTTTTTATTCATTATTACAATATTTATAATATCTAGAATGAATATTAAATACTGTAATACTATCTTAATAAATTGGTATAAATATCACGTTCTCAATCGTAAACAGTATAGTCTCTAAGGTCTTATTTTTCAATCAGTAAATCAATTAATGTATACACATTGTTCCACTTACTTAGTTTTAAGTGTTAGCCTTACGTAAGAATGAAAAGAAACTCAAAATCAACCATATTTTATTCTCATTCTGATCAATTTATGTTGCGTAATATATGTTGTCTTTTAAATTAACTTGATATAATTGATATATATATATTACTACTCTATTACGGGATGATATTAAAGAAAATTAGAGTGTGTTAACGTATTTGGTTTCATTTGTAGTTTTTCCTCTCAAAAAATAACTTTCTTCAAGACTGCCCAGCTTACGTTTCTATCACTTTTTTATATTTGATCTTTCGAAGTAGATGTTCTTTGTTTCATAAATGATAGATAATTAGTGAAGTATTGTTTAGTTGTATGTAGAAGAACTATCCTTGACTTGATGGGATCATTTAATGTTTCTTCACATGCATGGTTTATTGGTTACATAATCATTGTGTGTTTCATAAAACTCTGCAATTTAGGATTCGAATGCTACAACTGGCGTTATTTCTACACCAAGTAATAACACTTCGACATCAACAACATTTAGTAACTCAAATAATGATCTACCAACTCCTAGTTCTCCTGTTCGTTCACATTCTGTCATAACAAACGCGTTTCAAGGTCAGAATTCTTCCACAAATACTAGTTCATCCATAGTACCTGGTTATGCTACATTGTAAGTAACGTGAGAGGTATTATTATACGTTATTTCTTTTTTAAGTGGTTATATTTTTGTACATTTTGTTACTAGAGAATTTAAAATAATCTTAACATATGTCTGGTCGCCTTGGTTTTTATTAAGTCAATAAATATCCGTCGACAAAGATACTAAAAACCTAAAAAGAAAGCTGAAAACCTTTTAGCCAATCATCATCGAATAGATACTTTTTATAAACATCTAGAAAACTGAAGGATTAAGTGTCACAATTTATTTGGTTGATTACTCGTGGTTTTCATATATATGGTATGTTTCCAGAGGTTTCTAGCATACCAAGGTCATCCGTGAACCTATGAATGATCCCGTTTTTCTGAACATAGATTAACCTTAGAATATACTTTTTAATTATATTGCATGCCTTTTCTTTGTTTAGTTTAGTTTTTCTAGCTTAGAAGTAAGCCGGAAATATAGGAAATGTCTAGGACGTCATTAACAAGCGTCCAAATAAGAAAATTTATCAAATTTATTCACAGTTAAGATGTTTTCTCTTCTCTACTCATTTCAATGTTCCCCAATAAAAGTTATGAGTCGGAAGGCAGTGAAAATAAAACTTAGAATTTTCTTTATTTATCATAAACTTAACACGCAAATTGGTGAGTAGCGCTTCGTTGGTCATGACGATATTGGACTTATAACCTCATACAAATTCAATTCAATTTGCCACACCACATTAACACAACTAAATGAGGTTAATAAGGTAAATGCCAGAGTAGTAGAAGCAGAAATGGTATGGTATCAGCAGCTGTCAAAACGTCTAGACATAACAGTTATAGTATGGGGATAAAATATGGGTTCGTGGAATAGAAGCAATTATAAGATAGTTTAAAAACTTGGGATCTAAGGGAAAAGAAAATGTGAATGCACCTTGTATATTGCGAATGGTTCTGAGCTGTGTCACTCGAAGTACCAGCTACTGATCATGATTATCGCATGAACAGTAACCAAGTGATCTGCATCTATTTACATAGCTCAGACTTCGTGGACGAATACCACCTTTTAGTTTGACTGGCCCTTGTTTTCTTCCAACCTACTTCTGCAACAGTGAACATCGTTTGGCAATGTCTACAGGGATCGGACATGTGTAAAACACATCCCTATCATCTCAGTTGATGAAAATTTGCCATCTTTATCTGGTACTCTACGCTTAACCGCAAAATTGCTTACTTTTTGACCTCAACATACTCAATCACCCACAAAGTTTAATAGCAACATTTACAATTACTCTACCCAAGTGATTTGATTTCAACTCTTGAAATGACATAAATTTCAAGTGGATTTATAAGACATTGTCTTCTGATAGTGAAGATTTGTAACTTGTTGGTAGTGTTGCTTTTTGTGAATCGAATGATTCACTTATTATCACATAGTAATAAAATTAATTAGATTAAGGGGATTTCCAAAATTTTGAATTAAGGAAATTTTAAACACCAGAGAATTTATAAAAATATCTTGACTTATCTGCAATCAGTAGGTTCATCAATATAAATCCAATATATCCAATCATACAGAATAATAGTTCAGTCAATCATAATATATTCAGTGGTGGTCAATCGTATAAAACAGTCAACAAGAACACAGAAGTGTATCAAAACAACCATACATGCGATAACAATTCACCAATAAATTTATGTAATCTAAATTATATGTTGTGCTTGTAAAATAATTTTGAAATTCCATTCTTACTTTAAGTGAAGATGACAATGTTGTTCAGAATGACAATAGAAATTCGATAATTATATTAATGCTGACTAGTTTTAGAGACGGATGGCAGAAAGTTAGAAGCGGTCAAACCAAAATGTGGCATTAATCTTTGAAGTCACAGACTTCTGGTCTGAGCCATGTTGGTAGATGCAGACTAATTGGTTTGGGTCCTCGTGACTATCGTAACCAATCTTTAAAGACTTTGTATGACATGACTCAGATTCGATCACAAAGATGTAGGTGTAAACACTCTTCGTTTACCCTTAAAGCGTGAAATTACTTCATACCTTTCTTTCTACGAACTAATTCTTTCTTCCTGTAATATATCCTTATACACAATCTTTCTTTTATATATTGCTACCATTGAAATAACTACGTCTATGGATTTGATGTTGATCTTGTTGTGCTAATGAGGTATGGCAACATTGACTAGTACATATATGTACGTGGTTCTAAGTTGTAGCAAACTGACTGATAGTCATTTCAGGAAGCACAATATTACTCAACTCTTATTGCTGACAACTACTAGTTTTTGTACAAAATATTCTTAAAAAGTCAACAATTGTATTATACATATATTGTGTTTATTCAAATACCTATTTGTTTGAAATAAAAGTATAAATTTTCATCTTCACACACCACTTTTGTTTCAAATAAATAATTATTATTATACATTTACTATATCTAGACGAAAAGTTTCCAGTCCATCTTTGGATTCAACAACAATTAATTCTCTATCCAACTCTTGTTCAACTAATAATTCCAATAGTGGGAGTACAACAGTAAATCGAGCTGATTTAGAAGCATTTAAACGTGAATTAATATCGGAATTTCGTCGAGAAGTTCAACAATTAAAAAATGACGTAATCGAAGGTGATCTTGACTTTTTTTTAGTGATATATAGGTTACATTTAATTACTATTTGAGAATTTGTATTTTTGATTGATTAATATCTTTGGAAACAATAGCTAATTAGCGTTTATTTATTATTTGGTAGAAATGCTTTACCTTTAAGTACAATATCAAGTTAGTGTACATAAAGTTTGTCTGGTTATTTACTCAAATATCATTCACTAGCCTTCATCGCTGATACATATGATAACGCTAATTTTATACACCTTGTCAATAGTGAGTTGTAGAGGTAATCATCAAAAAGAATCCATGAATAATTTAGTTCCGACATATCGGGTATGAGACGATTATCCACCACAAGTAATGCAAGAAGATCACGCAGTATCGCCAAATGGTTGAAATCAAAACATGGGTCGTGGCTAACTCGCCAGCACGAGGGTCTTGGGTTCGATTTCCTTTGAAGCAGTGGATGTGCACTGTTCAGAAGAAATTACTGTACAATGCTTTCTGGTTCTCAATAATGGTCTAAATAAGATGAATGTGTGATATATTCCATGAAAATTCCCTATACGTGAAAATTGTACATAATTGCCATTCTTCTGATTATTGGTTTTACGTATTTCTATTCTCTTTTCGTTTTTCTTTTAGCTCTTCGTGCATCTTCTGTTCGAAATTGTTAGTTGAACTATAATGAACCACTGATTGATGATCATCCTCAACATCTTCATCGATTAAATGAAATGTTTGTTCGCTTACCTTTTTTCTTTCTCTTGTTGTTTTGTTTTCTACACTTTGACTGTCCTTTCTCCATATTTGATCAAATAATAAAGAATATTATGAATACAAATGAACAATGCTCACCTAACATTCCATAGTGTTGATAATAAATAGCCTGTTGAAATTGTTCTTTGGTGTAGATCATCTTAATGTTCTGTCTATTTATAATGAACACATTATACTATTATTATTATTTGTATCAGCCAACATATTGTGCTTCTGCTAAAACGTCATTTTGGTAATGATAGACAAAGTTGATTTGGCATTGTTGTTGCCCTGATTTCTGGGCTACGTATATTTGTGTGTGTGTGTGTAAGTCTGTGAGTATATCTGTTCAACTTACTTATATACAAATGACGCACTACCCCTACTGGTACGATTTACTCTGATATATGCATTTCATTGTTATCCTGTAGTTGTTGCTCTCGTTTTTTCCCATTTCTTATTGTATAATGCAGAGTTGTTTGCTTAACTTTTCTCTGTCTCTGTTGATTCCACTTAATAATGGTATGTTTTCTACGATGATAATAATGATTATAACAACATTTTAAGTGAGGAACTGTTAAAATAGTTAAGAATTATTCATTTAAAAACCTGATTTATACTTTGTTTGTTCTTTATTTGACTTCATTTAAGTCAATGTTTACATTTTATTCTCTATTTGTCAATTTCTTTCTTTTATTATAAAAGTTGCCTAAACTCGTATATATTGTTGTTTTGTGATCTATGCACACACTAACCTCCAGTCACATTTTGTGTATTTTCACTTACTAGGTTTTCATCATTTGTAATGTAATTAAGTAAATCAGTACTTTTTATAAATGTTTCTATGTATAAATCTGCACTTGGTATGTGCACATGTGCTTTTGTAATGTTTCCGTTTGAATGAGACAACAGATGAAATATTTTTGCTGAGTTCTTCTTTCATTTTGTTATTGGCTTCTCTCACTTTTTGTTTATGGTATTTCAGATAGTTGGTTAATAGACAACAAACTGTTCATTTCATTATATTTACTTCAAACTAGAAGCATTTCATTTATCTCTCTTATTCTCTATGCATCATCTGTAGTGATTCTTATCTTTAAGATTTTTGAAGACCGGTTTACAGATATACAGTATAGTATTAACTGCCATCATAGTCAATGCTTATCATCATTATTATATTTAATACTTTTCGTAAAACAAAAAACATTGCGTTTATTACAGCTTACGATTGTTAATTTGTTACGAAAACTGAATACTTTTTTTCTAGGTTGTTCTTCCTATCATCATAAATTATCCATTTGATATACGATTTAGTGTGTTTGTGTGTGTGTATATGTGAATTATTTATTCTAATTACCATAGTTCACTACAGTGTCCTATGTTTTTGTTTTTTTCTTTTTGATGAGTAGCTCCCAACTCTTTCTTTTCTTCTTCTTAATATCTTGTTTCTTTTCTGGATATTATTATTTTCTATAAAAGTAAAACTATATTGCATTTCATTACAATTTTATGGCGTAACCACACATTCTGATGAGATTTCTCTTTATCTCTATTAAAATGTGTAGAACTCTTTGTTACTTATCATTGTTGCTAACATCGGTATTATTTTATCGTTTACTACTTCATATATATATCATTATTCTACTGGTGGATTTTCATTGTTTTTTTCAAAGTATATTCCTAACACCATATAGAATGATACTTCAACTCGTGTTCTTTTTTCATTTGAATAAACGTAGTTGTAACAACAAAACTCATTGTGCTATTTAAAAGGAATTTAACTGAAGAAATTCTGGAGACGATGACTAGTAAATGTATTTGTTCACAGTAAAACAAGTTCATATTATGATTACTCTTTCTTATATGTAGTTCCTCGATAAATACATAATAGTATTTCATAGACTCAATGGTCTATATTTCATCAAAGTATGGATTGTGTTTTATCAATTATATCATGAATTTACCTGTCTTAAAGATTTCATTGATTATTCAAACATAAAACTGTCCGATTTACTTTATGTACAGTAGGATGATAATTATAATTTCCATTAGTAAAAACGTAGTCAACTTTCACGCTACCCTATGGAGTTCAGCCGGTATAAATCATGCAATGGTGTTTTACTGAACAGCTTTAGTGTTGTCTACACACATTTGTTCGACTTCAGAGAGCGTTCATTTTATGAACCTACATTTGCCTTAAACTGGACAAAAAGTGTAGTAACTTAAATACTAACATATCCACGGAGGTTTTTTCGTAGATAGTGTTATAACCCTGGAAGGTGATTTTTGATAAATGAACACTTCAATTCACATGACATAGAAGAAGACAAAGATCAATGTCATGAGGATTTTATACACCCTCCAAAAAATAGGACAAATGATTTAACCAAGTACCTCCATTTATATACTGATTTTACTGACATTTTAATTATTAGGTAACCAATTTGAGCGGACCATCATGAATTCATTTTATTTCGTTTCGTTCTGATCAGCTAATTACAACCTCTGACATTTGAAAATCACTATTACAAAATGAGTTCACAGTGCGTACATAAAGAAATTTAGTTGGAAGTTGCTATGATCACGCAATGTACCATATTAAGGATGTAAATAATTTAGACTAAAATATTGTAGATATTTATGTTATAACGGTTGGGTTTTCCACGTTTACGTGGACGTAAATTTACCTTAGATGAATATCTACACCAGATTCCCTCCCAGTGTCTATTCTACAGGACTTCAACACTACTCAGATCAAGAACGTGATTAGCCTGATCAGAACGTAAATACATTTCCACACCAAAACCCGACACAATCCAACAACAATGAGCAATAGATAATAATAATTTCAAGGATAGGGGAATAACTCAGCTGACACCTGTCAGACTATCTATATGTCTGATTAAGCAAACAACCAATCATTATCATCCTCGCCCACATATCAATAAATCTTATGTTTAAGAACGTTACTCAACACAGATGATAACTAAAGAGCCAGAAACAACGATTTACGTTACGTAACAGATAAACCCTGATAATAAGAATGAATAAAATCAGCCAGTTAAAATATGATTGCTAATCTAGAAGACAGTGCAAATGAAAAGACGTAATAATTTGGTCATTTAAAAGAATGATTTGAACAAAATTCTTCACGAGAATAAAAGGAGCTGTGTATGAAATACCTCATGTTCGAAATACGGGAAACGTATGGCGAGATTTTACATTGAATTAGTGTAAAACCCGTGCTGCATTTTATACTGATCGAAATCCATACCAAATTAGTCTGAAGAATACTACATTGCACAAATGTCACTCTGAAGTTAAGTGAATGTTATGCCAGATAATTATAACGCTGAATTAAAACGTGGTCACGTGGTTGTACCCCGTTTTTAAAAAAAATGGTTTTCTATCGACCACTATAATACTGCCCATGATAGATAAGTAGTTTAATCTTTACGGAAATAATATACCAAATTCAAGTTCTTTAATAAGAAGGTCTCATATGTCGCTATGCATTGTAAATTTGTTATCGGAACAACATATTTTATAGTTGTAACCATATTCTGTTAAATTGTAAGAGGAACCTTTGACACATAGCAAGATTCACTGTAAAAAAAGCTAGAGAACTGTTGAAAACGAAGTAACACTGTATATCTGTTCAATTCTGTTTTGGAATTCATCTGCTATGTAGATCAGCTATCCATACAGGACTGAACCCAGCCTAAAACATAACACCTATCTAGTCAACTATGCTATGAGTGAAATAATAACCACAACATACCATAAGTTGACTGAAGTCGGTCATTGATGCTGTCCATAATTGTCTAAAACCACCATGATCATTACAGGACTTAATGAAATCGACTTCAATCCCACATAGTTGTATAAGTTCGCGCTCGTTTTTAAAGAGTCCTGAATCCGTATGTTGAATTCTTTCTGATATTTCGTAACTCTCAATCTAATATCATTTCGTATGGAAATTTATTTTCAATTCATTACCTATTTATCATACAGTTGATTAACGATTCACATGACTTTCAGTGGTATTTTGTCTAACTTTTCTACACTATTATCCATTCATTCATTCTGTTGTGCTTTTTCTCGCGGAAAACATATCTACTTAAAAATGAACGAACAAAAAGTTTCTAGACTTATTTCCTTATCTGATTATTTCAGCATGGTAAAACAAAAAAAACAAATCCAAAGTTTGAAATGTCATTTTTTCCAATATAAACAAGTATTTTGATAAGCATTAAAATAAGCTTAAATACCTTGTTGTTGGTTGATTTGGTTTGGTTAAAAAAAAACTTGAAAATTAGGTTTAATTTAGTGATACTTTAAAGAATACGGTAATGTTAGTTTCTAAGTTACTTCATTGTAACCAATCTGTCAGATATTTTGATTAATAATCAAGTTAATGTCAGTTTCTTGTTTGCTTGTTTTTTTCTAAAAAAGAAATGTCATCTAACGTTGAAATAAAACGGGAAGAGTTCGTCCATTAGTTAGTGTGATTATGTACATTTAGCTACAGGCTTTTTATTTGTATGATGGTTAAATATTATACTCTGTCATTTAAGTGAAATTTCAACGCAGTTAATCGACTGATAATACATGATAAGAAGTTCAATATTAAGAACATGTGTACATTCACAAATATAATAAATATTACAGTCACATAACATACCAGGGTAAAAGCAATAAGACAGAAGTTGATGACCTGCTTGAACATTTGGCCTACATGTTCCTGCTATGTAGATATTTCAACAAGTTATCTATTTTTATGCATTTCTGAAAAGTGTAAAACTTTTCGTTGTACAAGTTACAAAAGGCGCAATTAGAGATATCGTAGTTGCTGGCAATATGCAGCTAAAAGAATGTACATTATTTCGTTGGACTTGACGGTTAACATCTAACTGGCGATCACTCAATATTTATCATCAGTATCGACCAAGAAGTAAGAAACGGAAACTTGTTAAAATACTTTGTGCTGAGAATTCTGTATTGTACTAAAAATATAATACTGAATAAAGCTAACAATAATAATAATAAATAGTGCTTGCGCACAAGACTGATATGTCCTGGGTTCAAATCTGGCGAGGCGGGATGGTGAATGTACACTGCTGGGGAGCCCCATTCTACGACAAAACGGCCGTCTAGTGCTTCCAGGTCTTCCATATTGGTCTGGCTTCAATTGACTCATAGTCTCAACTATTGAAATAGATTGAAAGGAATATATTTCTTCGCTCTAATTGTATTTCTTTCTAAATATGTAAATATGGATTTTCGCCTTACGAAATGCAAATATCAATCTGGTATCATAATACAGCAGTAGCTTAATGATTGAACTTCACTTCTGACTAGTGAATCATAAGTTCAAACCCCACCCAATTTCGGTTAGGATAACCAAGATAGTATCACTAATCCTTGTAAACAATATGGCTCAAAATTGAATACATAAACTCGTATTTAGTAAATCATTTAGTTTAGTTCATTAATACTATGAGTTTTATAGCTTATTCAATATGTGTAGGTTTAGTCATTTAGAACCTTATTTTGACACAATGCTTTTTCAGTCTCTCTCTCTCTCTCTCTCTCTCTATATATATATATATATATATATATATATATATATATTCCATAAGCCAAGGCTATCTGAACACAATCGGCCTAGTAACCAATTTGTTAACCTTAGGTAAATGTTATTTCCATTAAAACTTCTGAAATATTCTTTCCATTAAAATCATGATAAATTGATAGTATTTAATGTGTATTGTTTGTGTATACTGTAAATTTACATTTTCTTTTTATGGAAAGTATTTGACATTAGAAGTGGTCAGAAAAAATAATGTTTTACTCAATTTATCATTAATAAATTAAAATAAACAAAGAAAATCAGTTCAAGAATCCGCTTTTCTAAATTTTTGTTTAAATATTAACAGTTTCTGTATTTCATCACTGATAGTCCACTAACTAATCAATAAGTTAAATCTTGTATGATGTTGAGATTATTGACGGTGTTCATCAGTAATAAAGTATATTTTTACAGTTACTGGATTATAATCAGAGAGGGGTATTATGTATATGATAGTAATTTAATAGTTGAACTCAGTGGAGTTCAACTGAGTCTGTTGTGAGATAGTAACTCACTTAAGAAAATGGTAGACGGTGGCATAATTTCGTGGATTGGTTGAAGTTAGACATCAACACAATTGGATGCCGGCTCAGAGGTCTAGAGGTTAAGTGTTCGCGTGTGAGACCTATAGATCCTGGGTTCGAGTCTCGCGTTGCGGGATCGTGGATGAGCACTGCTCAACGACCATCCAGTGCTTCCAGGTTTTCCATGATGGTCTACATTAAATTGAATCATGAATTCAACTATTAAGTTACTGTATTAGTTTATTTTCTCCAATGTATGTTCAACCAGTTGCCTGTTTGTTTTTGATTTACAAATCAATATTGGAAATTAGAAATCATTATCAATAATGTGTATGTAATTCTTTATGTTTGTGTTTACTGTAAAACAGTAAAGTTAATCTTTAAAATGAAGAGTTAATTGGTCTAAATTTCATGTCATTATTAAACAATTAAAACATTTAAAAGTTAATTATCGTATATTTTGTAGATGGATACAAGGTTAATGGTGTAAATGTGATTGAAAATTTTGTTAAGTAGAAGTTTTTAAAGTCTAAATATTTATATGTTTAAAGCAATTAACCTCGTTTATTAATTCCGATAGAGCAATTAGAACA